CGGCTATGTGCGACAATGGGTAGTGAAAGCTTTGTTCTTCTCCTTTCCTTATTCCCTCAATATTTCTATCTTTCTCTCCTGATATTTCTCACTATCTTCTCAACTTAGCTCAGACAATGTTCGGAAAAAAATGATACTCACGGCCATACTATTCATAGGAAAAATGAACAAAATAAAAAAATGGAAGACAACTTTTCTTTTTAAATTCCCTTCTCGGTTTTCTTAATTTTTTTTTTAAAGTATTGGCTGATCAATCCGAACTCTTATGCTTTCTCTATTATATGCTAATTGATGGTTTAGTCCAAGGACACATGTCCTAAATGCGTGATAAGTGGGACAAGCAAGTAGCTTAAGCACATAGCTTACTCACTATTTGTGTGCTAACCTCTCCTTCACTTTCTTAAGGCATAGGAAAATTTATTACTCTGATCACAATGCTTTGTCCTCATAAGGAATTGGACTTGGCATGACTATATATGTAATGGGCTCGGCAATTAAGCTATGCGCACAAAAGCTTGACTAAGTGCAATTTCTTGCCAAGAAAATGACTTATGCTAAAACTTAAGTAATTTGATTCCTTAATTTGCAAATAATAGTGTAAAGACTTTTGGAGGTTTTAAGAAAATGCTATATAAGCTCGGCTAGATTTTGTTAACTACAAATATAATTTGACCGAACTTGCTCGATTTCGGTCCCGGTTCAACTTCGACGATTAACTCAAATATCTCTATTCTGAATAATACGTCGACTTAAATAGTTATCCCGATTAATAATGTCCGTTTATAAAAATAAACGTGTTGGAATTAATTATCGAAACTGATTCGATTACTGACTATAATTTAAAATCGAATATTAAATCGACTAAAAGTCGAACTTTAACTGAATAATTAGCTTGAACTCAACTTTTGACGATTAATCGAATATTCTCAATTCAATTAGTACGTCAACATTGGAATAATTAATCCCAACTGGCTGATGTCTATTTACTAAATAAACGGACTGAGATTAATTATTATCATTGCTCGGTTAATAAATAAAATTAACCGGATATACTTTCGACTTAACGTCGAACTTGAAATTTAACTGGCTGAATAACTTAGACTTGGACATTAACATGAAGATTTATTAACAAAGACTAGCTTATATTCAGAAGCTAGTATCATTCCTTTATTAATAAAATACAGGGTGTTACAACGTGGCTCTGGATACCAAATGTTACAACCTTGTAATTTTATAATTAATTTTCTGTAATCTTCTTAGAAAGTGAGATGAAGGGGGAGGGTAGAATGATAGAGGAAGAAGGTGAGTGAAATTTGAGAGAGAAAGTAGAGAAAGAAAGAGAGTTTGTATGCATTCCAAAACATGCCATTACTTCTCCACTATTTTCCAATTAATAACCATACGGAAACATACTAAATTCAGTAATGGGCCTAACACTTGCCCAACAACCCAATTAACATAAATTAACAGCATAAGTAAAATGAACTAGAATGATAAATGTGGAATGGCCCAACTGAACCTAATAATCAGGCCCAACGAATCCACTAAACCTCTCCTTCTCTTTCATAAGTCCTTTATCTCCCATTTTGCCCTTATCCTCTCTATCTTCTGCACAAATCCCCTTTTTTCAGTCCAAACTCCGATACTCCAGCGATCAGATCTCGAACCTTAGCCCCTTCACTGTCCTTAAATCCTTCCTTTGGTGTTGGGTACATGACAGACATTCGTCCTCTACATCCGACCCGACCGCTAACCGCCTCCCTGAACTGATCCGCCGACCGTCAGTCAGCCACCAGAAGGTTGTCGGCCATCACCGTACGAACTGATGGGCGCCGCTATTAGCCGTCCGCCGACGTGGACCTCTTGGACAATCACGAAAATTTTCATTCCATCAATCGCATCGATCACGGGAATTTTCACAGTATTGCCGCAAGATTTTTGTTTCCACTTTTTGGCAGACTCATATTTTTAAGAAGATGTTTATGACTTGTTAATTCTGTGAGAAAATTTGTCGTCTCCTCATTTAGGCAATGGTATTAGTCATAGATACATTTGAATGGTACTAGTTATACATGTATTTGTGTCTTTTAGACATTGCTTTTCAACCTGGACCGACCCGGGACTCGACCGACCTGGATCCGGAACCGGTCCGAATAGGCTAATTAGACCGGGTAACAATGAATCCGGTCAAACCCGATCAAGACCCGGACAACCCTACCTTGACCCTGTCGACCCGGGCCATTGACCCGGCCGGGTCAACTGGTCCTTGTATATTTTGTATTCCCGATCAAGACCCGAACAACACTGCCTTGACCTTGTCGACCCGAGCCATTGACCCTGTTGGGTCAACTGGTCCTTGTATATTTTTTATTTTTTAAATAATTTTTATATAAAAAATAAAAACTATGTAAATATCTTGATATAGTAAATATTTATTGTGAGATATAATTCTTTTAACACTTTGATTGTATAAATTCTATATGTAAAATATTTATTTTTGTTACTTTTATGTATATTTATATATCAAAAATATTATATATATAATTTAAAAAAAAAAATTAATTATCCGTTTCAATAATTGACCTTGTGACCCGACGATTGAACAACTTACCCAGTGACCCGGAGACGGTCGGGTTTAAAAACTGCTTTTAGACAAAAATGTTGTGTAGTGGACTAGTTAATTTCCTCTTAGAATAATAATATTCGTGGGCAAATAGAAAATTCACATACATGTCCATTTGATTTTGGGCTTTCATATGTAATCAAAATCACGAAGTCAACATGGGCAACATCTCAAAAATCCTAAACTGAAAGTCTTCACTGATTGAGTCGCACCGCAAAAAACCTTCGATCTCTCGCACAAAGTCCTCTCCAGTCGTCGTCTCTCCGGTGAGCACACTTCCTTCATCTGGATATCTGACTTCCGTTAACAGCGTGAATCTTAGATTTAACAATTTCAGTGTGATGCGTGTGATGTGTGTGTGTGTGTGTGTTTTTTTTTTTTTGATCGGCTATTTATTTTGTGCCCTTTCTACGGAAATGTGTTCGACAGATTGTGGATATTTCATCTAATGCTTATTTTGTTGGGATTTGGGGTTGAATGTGGATATTAATTTGAATTATCTTCGTGAGTATTTGATTTGTGCGCCGACATTCTCGGTAATGTGACCTCAAAATGAGCGGCGACCTTCTTCTGGAGAAATTTATTGAATTGATGTTTTGGGTTGCTTGCTGAAATTTTTGTTTATACGAGTTAAGTGATCTTAAGAAGAAGCTGTCGATCTTTGGTTGATTAAAGGATTTAGGCAAAGATCTATTTCAATTGATTTTTTTTTTATTATTATTTTTTATTATTATGTTTGTGTGTTTCTGTGATGTGTTTTGTGGTGGGTGTGTGTGTTGATAGCTATTGCAACAGGAAAAGAATGTTTCCTTCTTATATCTGAAAATTGCGCAAGCAATTGAGCAAATGTTTAATCTCACGCAATTTGGCTGCTGGGGTGGTTTATTAACTCCAGAATATTTCCATTGTATTCTTTTATCAAATTTGGTCCATGGGGATCATGTATAGTTTCTAAATCCAATTATTATGCAATCATAATTGATTGTTCTTTAACGTGTTTGATTTTTTCTGCATCTCGTATCTCTGCGTTTTTTGTGTCGTCTGATCCGTTTATTATGTTCTTGTCATATGTTGATATTTCAAACAACTTATTCTGTTTTCTTATGTAATTGTTTCTCATCATAGCTTATCCTATTAACGAGTTATTAGCATTTTGTGTTTTATCATATTATTAACAAGCGAAACTCCTTGAATCGGGTTGCTTTTGCAGTGATCAGTGTGTAGTTTGTTACCCTTTCATGCATGTAAACTCGTAACCTTATTGTTTTCCTATAATTTAAGATGTTACTTGCTGGTGAACAATCTTTGTTAATGTTCATGGAACCATTCTATTCCTTTGAATCAAGTGAGTGTTACCATAGTGTAAAATTAATGATCATACTAAGCCATTAGTAAATTCCTTATGCTCTACCCATGTAGCCATTGCATGCCATATTTATGAATATGGTATTATTATAGACGGGTTAAGGTTGCTTTTCCATGTATCTTTATAGGAGTATAGAGCTTCACATGATACAATTTCGATGCTAATTCATGTTTTGAATCTTTTTTCGATCTCGTTTGATTTATCTTATGGTTATTGTCTATATCTGGTGGTGTAAATACCCTTTGACTCCTTTTCTTCCCTTTTGATATATTGTTTTTTTCTACAGTGATATAAAACAATATAATTTTGTTTCACCAGGTAGTGAAACAGCTTCAGTAGATGGATTGGCAAGGGCAAAAGCTAGCTGAGCAGCTGATGCAACTGCTATTGGTATTTTTCGCAGTAGCTGCCTTTATTACGGGATATGTTCTGGGGTCCTTTCAGACCATGATGCTCATTTATGCAGCTGGAGTTGCATTAACTTCGGTTACTACTATTCCTAACTGGCCATTTTTCAATCGTCACCCTCTCCATTGGTTGGACCCAAGTGAGGTTGAGAAGCACCCGAAGCCACAGCCTACCCCTTCAGGCTCGAAGAAGAAGGCTTCTAAGAAATAGTTTTTATGAAAGATAATATAACATGCCATTAATAGTGATTCAGGTGTTGAACAAACATTTTGGATATGGCTGTACTTTCTCATTACTACTGTTGTTCGATAGACTTATGGTACTCTTTTGAACAACTCCCCGTTTCTCATACATTAAAATCATACTTATACTCGTGTGTGAGTCTATATATATTTTTTTCCGGCATGTTTTTTCATTATTGGTGATGAGTAGGTTGTGATGGAGCTCGCACAAAGCAATCTGTGTTGCGTACATTACGGAATATGATGATACGATATTATTTGGGTTCTGTAATTTCTTTTCTTTTTTCCATGGTTTAGCCGAATAGAGAAGTGCTGACCAGATGATGGTTATTTTGTTATCATGACCTTTGTTTTGCTTAATTCAAATTGTTATCTTTCTTCTCCCATTTTTTTGTGAAAAGCTTTAGTTAATGTGAGTTTGGTTGAAATGTGATATGGAACTTGGTATTATCAATTCCGGGATTTAAGTGAGTCTCTACTTGATAGTATTTCCTTCATAAATACGTTTGGTTGATAATATTTTTAGTGGTTGATATCTAGCCCACCAAGTTATTATTATCTTGTTTGGTTGGAGATCGAAAATCCGAATTTATATGTAAAAGGATATTTTTCAGTATTGAGCTAGCTTTGACAACTTTATTTCTGCTCTCAATGTGATGTCAAATGACGCTTTTTTAAAGCAACATAGTAAAAAAAAAAAAAAAAAAAAAAAAAAAAAAAAAAAAAAATGGGTAAAAGGAACAAAAAAGAATTGTAGAAAGAAACAAATCAAATTACATACAAATTAGAACAAAATACAAATAAGTGTAAGAGATTATCATATTGATGATCCACATTCATGTTTTTAGGTAGCTGATAAAAACAAATGATAATATGATCATCATCAGCATCACATTTATACACCAGAAACCAAAGGTTTTGTAATTTCATTTACACCCCAGATGCAAATCCATGTCCAAAACTTGTTATCATATTGATGAAGACGAGCTCACGATAGCTTTATTGGCGCGAATCCGAGGAATACGCGAATCCCGGCGTTAAAATTATTAATATTCACATAGTATATATTCCTAATATTTTTTATTTATCTTTTTATTCCTAATATTTTTTATTTATTTTTTTATTGTTAGGATGATGTCTATCTTTTAGTATTAAAACTTGGTCAGTAAGTTAAGAGTTTAGGAGTGTTTGGAGTCTATTTATGTTGTGTAAACTGATGGGAGCGTTCAGTTGAAGAATAATAAAGAATTTTATCGAGTTTTCACTCTTATTGTTCCTTTCATTCACGCTTGCTGCGTCAGTTGGTATTCAGAGACCAGTCACGATCCAAGATGCCTCTGGAGAGAAACGATGCCGATGAACGGAGAGACGCTGCCATCGATTTGCTGCTGCAACGAAGTGAAACGTCCGATCGTCTCATGGCTAATCTCTCGGCGAGTATAGAGGAAAATGCACTGGCCGTCAATACCGGCCCTCACGACAATCAGGCGAACCGAGGCCGTGGCGGACGGCTCGGAGGGGCACGCGGGGGTCGTGGCCGGGGAGAACGCGGGGCTCACCGTGACCGGTCTCCTCTTTCGTGGGATAGCAGCGGTGACGACGACGACACCCTTTTCGATATAAACCCTTTTGGACATCCAACCCGTGAAGATGATGATCCGGACGAGGAAAAGCTCTGGAAATCGTCTTTTCGTGTGGAAATTCCAGAATTTACCGGCGGCCTGGAGGCGACGGACTTTGTGGATTGGATGGCCGCGGTCGAATCCGCTATCGAATTCAAAGGGATTCCAGCAAACTTGAGGGTTGAACTTGTCGCGACCCGATTTCGCGATCGGGCCGCTGCATGGTGGCAACAACTTAAGGCGTCCAGACGCCGTATGGGAAAATCGAAAATCACTGATTGGGCCAAGTTCCGTAAACATCTCGACCGTGAGTTCCTCCCTTACAATTATATGCGTACTCTTTTCATGCAATTCCAAAATCCGAGGCAGGGACAACGTTCAGTTAACGAATATACTGAGACGTTCTATCGTCTTCTCACGAGATTTGATGCCCGGGAGACAAAGGATCAACTCATCTCCTGTTATATTGGAGGACTTCGATTACCGATCCAGGACATGCTTATCTTGTTCTCTCCGGATTCTATTTCTGACGCCCATCAACGTGTTGTTTTGGTGGAACAACAACTCGAGCGTAGACCGTCTTCTTCTTTGCTTCCAACGGCCAGGACGGGTGGTCATGGTGCAGCGATTGTGCCAGCGGGGCAGTGCACGACGGTTGGGCCAAGTGGCAGCGTAGGAGCTGGTACTTCCGGCACCAGGCGCACAGCGGCAACGGGTTTTGGCCCTCCTGGTGCTGCGACAGGTTCTCAGCAGAACACACGAGTGTCGGGCGGGCTCCGATGTTTTTCATGTGGTGAGGTCGGCCACCGACAGTCGGCGTGTCCTCGACCCAGCGGTGTTCGAGCTTTATTTGCTGATGATGTGGATGATCAGGGCAAGCCTCCGTTATACGACGCTCCTCCGATTTTTGACAAAGAGCCCGAACCGGTTGAAGAACACGTATACGGAGATGTTGGTCATGCCCTTCTTCTTCGCCGCTCGTATTTATCGCCCCAGGCCGCGTCTGAGGAATCTGTTCGATTTTGTTATCTCGGACGTGTTGTGGCTGAAGAAGAAAAGGCTGAATATTTGGGCATTTGGGGCTGGCCCTCTATCGACAATAATGATTCGTTTGCAAGCGGTGCTGTTATAGATGTTGAGGACGACCAGAAGGATTCGAAGGTGGTTTCTGGAGGTCAACAAAATGAAAGTCTGGCTGATACTTTTCTGCAACAGCACATCCCTTTACATTTCGTGGAGGTGACGGTTGGTGGAGTCACCCTGGTGACTCTATGTCGGATGAGACCATGGATGATGTTCTCTTCGGGAGCTCTGCCTCTGCCACAGAGTTTGTGGAGGAACTCGATGGCCAATTCTCCGGGATGCCGACCGCAAAACATTTGTTGTTGATCCCTGAGTTGTTGTCTAATCTCCGCAAGCGACTTGTCGATGCCTCGCAGCAGATAAGTTCCAGCACATGTATATGACGAACGATTTTGGGGTCGTGTGCTCATTTCTTGAGGGCCTCGTTAGTTTCAGTTCGTATGGCGAAAAGCTTGAGCGTTATGGAGTGGTCGAGAAGTTCCTCGTCAAGCTCATGTCTGAAGTTCTTCGGCCTGATGTTCATGGGGAGGATTATGTTGCTTGGGTTTGTGACCGAGTTGCTCGTGCATGTAGCGGCGAAAAGTTTTCGGCCCATTCATTGTTGTTCAAGCACACGAACAGAGATGATAGTTGGCTCATACATAAGCTTTCTATTCTTGCTGCTAGAGGGATGCTGCATGTTCTTTATTTTAAAACCAAGGCATTGCTTGGTCTTTCTTTTACAACTAAGGCTTTGATTGATCATGTTGCCATTTTCCACAATTTAATAGGTTGGCAGGTTTTATTTGGTGATCCAGCATTATTCCACAGTTATATTCTTGCAGTGTATGGAGCCATTGGACCTACTACCATCTTGATGCCATTCACAGAAATTCTAAAGGAGGACTTCTTGAACGTGGGCGACAACTCATATGACGACGAGCTCACCTCGGATTCGAGGGTGAATCCTTCTCAACCGGGGGAGGATGATGAAGACGAGCTCACGATAGCTTTATTGGCGCGAATCCGAGGAATACGCGAATCCCGACGTTAAAATTATTAATTATTCGCATAGTATATATTCCTAATATTGTTTATTTATCTTTTTATTGTTAGGATGATGTCTATCTTTTAGTATTAAAACTTGGTCAGTAAGTTAAGATTTTAGGAGTGTTTGGAGTCTATTTATGTTGTGTAAACTGATGGGAGCGTTCAGTTGAAGAATAATAAAGAATTTTATCGAGTTTTCACTCTTATTGTTCCTTTCGTTCACGCTTGCTGCGTCAGATATCTATATATATCTTGTAGTATATTTTGTGAATATTTGATAGGTTTTAATTAGGGAGTCTCTTTATAGTGTAAGTTCCCTTATATTGTAATTAATCTTGTAGTTGGTTGCTATATAAAGCCCTCTCTAATCATCAATGGAGTCGAGAAGTTTTCTCATATATCTTTTGTCATGGTATCACAGTCTGGTTAAGTTTTTTATTTTTATTTTTATTTTTATTTTTGATTCGGTCTCGATCAACTGAGACTCGTACCTTCGTTTGTCTCTTCTCAACCTCTCTCGATCAACATCGAGTTACTTCCAAAAAAAAAAAAAAAAAA